GCTGTTGGAGACCACCTGTGAACATTTCTTTCAGCCATCGGGTGAGAACAAACTGGTTTGCACCCTGTAGTGTTTTGTCCCTGAGTGTGGCCATCTGGATATCGTATGCGATGACTGGAATCACTCTGATATCTGTGGTTAAGTCAAAAGCTGTGAAACCTTCTGTTAAAACTTGCAATAACTTTTTCTACATTGGTCGTAGGATATTCGCTTATAAGGCGGGACAAGGCGTCGGCTTGGCCAAACTCTTGGGTGCGTCGGAACTAAATGACATACTGTGCAGCGACCGAGACCAGGTTTGAATACATTTGGAAAACGTTGGCTTATATCAGCGTTTGTCAGCAGACGCTTGAACTGACTGCAAATGGCACGTGGAGGCACATCCGAGAGCAAAGTTTTCAAACCAATCGAGACCGAGGAGGTTTAACTCCGCGTCAGATAGATTCCATTTATCGAAGTGTCGTAAAAAGATACAGTACATGATAACTGACCTGGTAATGGTAATCGGCCACCGCATGCGCTAATAGCAGTTTATACAGTCTTCTGGATAGGAGGTCGACCAATCTCCCACCACAGCTTCTTCGAAATAATCGTTATATCGAAAGCTGTGTCGATTTGTAGTCGTACTGAATGGTTATATATCTGGACGGTGATATATTTTCTCCATGCTGGTGCACTTACTTGAAAAACAGCAGTAAGACTAAGAGATTTGCTGACTGGTCGAGATTTCGATCTTCGACGGTGACTGGGTGGTGACCTACCCGTTCTCTGTGATGAGTGCTGCTTGCAAAATCTGTCCTTATGACCCACCATATTACACTCTCTGCATTTATTCTGCTTATAAGGACAAGATTTAACGAAATGCCATGTGCCACAATGCCAGCAGGAGGATGGAGGGGTCTTCTTCGTGTTTCTTTTGGTATTGTATGAGCTGTAGGGATGACGAAACGGAGACGAAGAACCAGGAGTCTCCTGTCTTTCGACCAGAAAAGGGTGCAGAGAAATTAGATGTCTGGCGAACCGTATGCACTTCATGATCACCGTGGCGTCCGGATTGGACTAGACTTGTATCCCGTTGTAGGTTCACCAGTCGTTGATACTCAGCAGCAATATCATTCAACGTCAGTGTTGGTTCCTGCTCCAACCGATTTGGCAGTCTCATTCTGATATCCGAGAACCTGGGCGATTGAAGGCTGCAAATGAGTACCAAAGACTTGAGTTGGCCATCGGTGATGAACTTCAGCTTGAATTTTTCGCATTCACGATTGAAAACATCAACATGGGTGAGAAAATCATCGTTCTCGTTCATGACCAGTTTAAGACAACAATATCTGTCATTGAAAAGAGACGAATGATCACCAAAATGTTGTCTTAGGGTCTGTATTATGGCATCGAAGGAGCGGTCTCTTGGGTTCTGTGACAGTATTATATTGCAATACTGATCTAATTCGGATGGACCAGGTTTTCGAAGGGGGAGACGAACTTTCCATGAATCATCTTGACCAGCAAAATCAACTCTGAAGTGGTCTTCACAACTTCGGAACCAGGTATCGAAAGTCTCGTTAGCATTAGGATCATAATGAAATTCTGTGGTACTGGTTGCAATTCCGTCGACTGAAGGGGCTGATATAGCAGGTATAGGATTCAATGATTCAGGTGTAGAAATTCTGGACTGAGTTAGTAACTCGATAATCTTCACCTGTTTTTCGAGAAATTTGTCCAACTTCGAAGAGTGCATTTTTCATCTCATCCCCGTCGCCACTGTTACGATCCCATCTACAGATAACGAGTAAGCACACCACTCTGTTGAGGAAACTGTACTCGAACACCTGTGAGCATGTTATAGACTACAGTGAGTTATGTACGTCGAGTGATGTCTGTCAAGAATATCCTCTATCTTCATTCTTATTCAATTTTGTCATAGGATGTCCTTATGGAACTATCCCTCTTGTCATGACATACAAACAGAGGGAATCAACGTAAAACCTCGCACACTAGTGCATTAGTCGAGTTGCCACACTTCACAGTATTATACAAGTAAAAAGTGGATAGACAAAGACTAATAACAAGTTAGAAACAGTGGTATGAAAGATAAAGATTACTGCAAATATTCAGGCTTTAGAAAATGTCAGAGTGAATACATCTGCGCCATTATGACAGATTTTCAAGCCATTTCACCAAGAGTCCTCAACCACTGATTCCTATCGTCTCAGTGACCCAAAGCAGGTAGTCTAGACCTCTGTACATGGTTCCGACCAACAGTCGAGGACTTCGTAGACTGGTACCACGTCCTGATCTGGCCACTCTGATGAACCCTCTTTCAACCTAATCCAACTTCACCCGGCATTGCACATCATGGTAGGTGGCGTCTCGGCATGCTCAGTACATGTCTAAGCCACCTTAATAGATGAAGGTTCACGACTTTATCAAGTGACTCCCCTCTCCTCCCTACAACTCAACGTGTAACTTTTGCATTACTGACTAGGTGATGCCACGACACAGCATATGCTACTAAGGGGACAGTGGACAAACACCAGAAGCCTCATCTCCTCTACCTTCAATGCTCAACTTTCATAGCCATACAGTAGGAAAGAGTGAACCGCAGCACAGTACACCTAACCCTTAATAGGCAATCGGTTACTGCGGCGGCGCCATAAATGGCGTAAGTTGGCGAAAACCAATCGAGCCTTCTGTATACACGCAGGGATTTTGTCGGCCAATGACCCATCAGGGTTAATCCCCGACTTATTAGGTGAGTGAAATGGTCAGTGTACCCAACCACTTCACTCTCTATTACTAGCCAGGGCACCGCTGAAGACCAGTCCTCGAGCGACAACTTACATTTGAGAGATGGGGTAAACATCCTAAACATTCTCGAATCGCCACTCAAGGTGTCCAGAAGACCCTACATGGTGTCAGCGTCTTCACCTAACAGGACTACGTCATCTGTATAATCTAGATCTCTCGAGGATTCCCTTGTCATAAGATATATATCTGTAAAATCATATGACGAGAGGCGTTCCTATTTAGCTTCATTATAGAAGCACTAATGGACATAACCCTAGGTACGTCTGACTTCACGGTGACTGATCTACTCTCTGGAGAGCACCTGGTTGACTTGGAGTATACAGGCGACATTGTCCTGCAAGTTGAAGACGTTGAGTGCGTTGATCAGAAATCTGAATATGTTAAACACACGTTTTGCACATATCAAATGCAAGGTGATGCTCCACGACTGGTCTGCAACTACTCCCAGTTGAAGGATAAGGAGTGAAGTGGTGAAGTGTGTCTACCACTTCGCTCACTTGAGGAGTTGCATCAGCCCGAACGGTACTTTAAGGTTACCCATGAATAAGTAAATGTTGTTTCGTTGTGAATCAGTTACCGATTGCTTGAAAATGGCGTACCTAAGCCATTAGCATATATCTTCATTGAATGACCCCCGGGTCAGGTTTAGCCGAAAACTGTTTTTATGTTTTCCATGTATGCTTTGGTAGTTCTTTGAATGCTTTTTGCATTTTGCTCTGTAGTCTCTGAGTCGGAAATAATCTCATTTCGGACTTAAGTTGTGTACATATTTTCCAAAGAGCTGTAGCTCATTACTCTAGACACTTGTTTCAACCCAGCTCCAGCTGCCGATGTTCGAGCAGCCAGATAGAATCAATAGCCCTCACGCAGTGGGTGTAACTCATTGCTTACTGCTCGAAAGCCGCTCAAAATTGCTGAGTGGCTTTTGATTCAATATATTTTTGGTCACTTTTAGTTTAGTTTCTGTATACACATGGACTAGCATCGCGATTTTTGTTTGAGAACTTGGTGAAAAACATTGTACTGTAGTGTTTTTAGTCGGTTATCTTTACTCTCGCCATTCATTGAGATTCCTTTTTATCAATGAGTGAAAAAATACTGACTGTATCATTTTAATCTTACTACTGTACACACTACATCACTAGTAACCATAATCCTGGGTACAATCAAAACTTTGTTAAGGGTTTGATTGTACATTAGAATTGGGAATATGCATCCCAGCGAGTGTGATCTGCTTCTGCTGCACTACTAAGTAACGTTGACCATCATAATAATGTTATAGAAATAGCCACTATCTCAATATGCTCATAAGTTACGACCTGAAGCATCTTTCAGTTAAAGTCCTGCTATTTTACTAACATTCGTAACCGTTGGGTCTGATTGCCTTCTTAATATCATTGTTTCTCTGACTCCTTTCGAATTTGTGATGCTGTCTAGTTGTGAATAGCTTTCGCGCGACGCATTTTGTCTTTAGAACTAACTGAAAAACCGCTGGTTCTATTAAAATGTGGTACAGTAATTGCCTGAATAATGGATAGTATCACTAACAGTTTTGAGTTCCAAAGATTAGGACGATTTCATTATGTCTCAAAATCTCAAACTTTTAAGTCTACCAAGTATACTGTCTTCCGGGTAGAAAGTTTGACACAAATCCATTGAAGTTCCTCTATGATCAACAGAATTTTGAGTGTTGACGTTTGTAATTTCATTCATTGTAAACTAATGGTGGTATGTATTGTTACGATTCAACACTATAGATAACGATACAACGCTCCAAGACGATACGATTAGCAATAGAGCAATGATTTCTCAACTCGATATTCCTCTGACACCAGAAGACGAGACTGAGAATTTATTCACTCCAACCGAATAATGATAAGTGGAAACTCAGTCCTTTATATATCCTTAGATGGCTTTAACCAGAGAAAACAAAATAGCATATTCAAAGTGTAAAATGGGCCAATCAGCGTTCAGCATTCTGAACTGTGGTAAAAATAAGAAACAATATGCTGCAAAAGGAGCGCGAAAATAAGGCTTAAACTTTACAATGATAATATAAACATATTATGAGTTAGTTTTTTTAGGGATTAGCCATCTCTAACATGTATGTATCTCTGAGTGAATGCTATTTTATAGCAGTTGTCTAGAAGAATAGTAATTTACTGGTTTTGGATTTTCCCCGTTTTATTCAGCAGGTGCTATGACGGACTTCATTGAAGCTGTTTCCAATCCACTGGCCCCTAATGGATTTGTTGGGCATGGAGACCTTTCCAACCATAAACTATCTAACAGTGATTTTCGCAAATTGTTAATGACACCTAAGCCATCGACACAACCATCAAAAGCAGATGAAACAAGTGAAACTGGAGCACGTGGTTTTACTCACCCTTCTGATCGATCAGATCGTAAACGTCAGGATTCTAGTCAGTCAACACATCGTAGTAAGCAAAAAGTGGGCCACAAACGTCATCATGTACGCAGTAGGAAAGAAACTCAGAAATCTGAAACTTCTGAGTCTATACATCGTTATCGAGATCGTGCAAAAGAACGACGTGATGGGAAAATTGCAGCACCGACGGAGGAAGCAGAAGATGAGCGTGAGCTAGAAAACGATGATGATACACTAACGCGTACAGCTGACTATCGTGCTGTTGCACCGTCGTCTGCTGCTGGTGCTTCACACGCTGAACGTCGTAGAATGCTTATTCAAGAATCAAAATACCTTGGTGGTGATATGGAACATACACATTTAGTGAAAGGTCTTGATTATGTTCTACTGCAGAAAGTACGCTTGGAAATTCAGAATAAAGAAATTGAAGCGGAACAAGCGCTCGATGCAGAATTAAATAAACCAGAGAAAACTAAAGATAGTACTGGAGAGGAAGGGATCCAGTTTCGTACAAATCTTGCAGCAAATATCTGTAACGTTTTATTCAATGAAAATCTTCCAGAGCGTAACGAATACTTCCAACCTGGCCGAATGGCCTATCGTATTGAGCTAGAAGATGATTCTGTGGATTTCGAAGTTCCTGCTACAGTTATTCGTAGCAAATCAGACTGTTTACAGGTTGATGGTCGTGGGGCAGGTGGAATAACTACAAATGAAATTGTTATCAATAAACTTACCCAAATATTATCTTATTTACGAGCTGGTAAAAGACATGCAAAGAAAGCAAAACTTAAAGGACGTTTTGGTGAAAAGCCTGAGTTAGAATATGAAGATGTTCGGCACTCACATATTATAAAGAAAGTGGCTAGTAAGTTCATTTTGTGTTCGTACTACTCCATAGAGTGATTTTCTTCAAATATGGTGAATTATGCGTTCGATTATATTTGTATGTGTTAACGTGTCGTTGTAAGAGATTATTGCAAGAATCAGCTCATAAGTAGTGGCTAAATCAGAACATGACATCAATCTTTGGAACTTCTGACCAATGTTTGTGGTATACAAGAAAGGTGTAGGGATCCTGGTTGGTGTTCGCAAGGCCACTGAAATCGACGGTTAAAGACTCATAATAAGTTGCAGAATTTATGAAGCGACACTTCACTGGCTAGGGCATTCAATTTCCCCCAGCGGGGTAGTCGGTGCGCACTACTAAGGAAGTCCCATACTATAGTGAAACAGCTGATTAGTGCTCCCAGGTTTAATGATTCTCTAGTTGGTATCAGTCCATGATGAATGCGAACTTGTAATGAGAAAAGTTTTCGAATCCCTCAATTAGATGACATCATGAATCCTAGTACGCTGACTCGCACGTGTCTGCTGAGTCGCATTATACTGCAGAGTCATCCACACTGGCACAAGTTCGTATCGATTCTCTGTCTGGAGAAAAATTCAGTTATTTTTTTGCTTCGTGTGTGTGACTGCTAACACTGCTTTTCATTTACTTATCCCCAACTTTTATTTCCCCTTATTATACTGATGTAATGTGTGACAAATTGAACTGACAGGTAGTTATGCTAGGTCATTTCTTTGTCTGCCGACCATCTCTATGCTATCTAGTAAATGCTTGTCGAATTCTTTCTACTAATGATTACAATTTGATTACTAGGCTAAACAATCCGAAATTACGATACAATGTATTTGAATATTGAATGATTAGAAACAATGGTAAATAGAAGACGCAAGTGTATATTTTGTAACTGTTAGTGCTCATCATTAAGTGATATTTGAGACATCGAAAAAGACCATATTATATCTGGACGACTTACTTGTGTGAATCTGCACTGGAAATGTCGCCATTTGACGCGTGACTAATTTCTGTAGGATTGTATTGTATGTGTGAATCGATCAGTGCATGGTGAAAAACGCCATTCGCAAGGCTTACTGGCTTACTCACTGATTTAATTCTATTGGTCAGAAAATGTGAACTGATTTTGAACACTGTCGGTCATCGTTTGGTTGTCAATCACTTTACGGGAGAAGTAGCTTTTTTGCCATAAAAAATGTGTGACGATAAATTCTGAGAATATTAAGAAAAATGTGAAGAATTCACCATGTCCTGGTTTTATTGTTATAAATATTTTTGTATGTATAGATTGAAATCCCGCATCGAAGCGATACTATCGATAAAAAAACAGTTAACCGTATGATATGACGGTGTGAATTATCTTCGATTTAGAGCCTTGTTTTTTAACAGAATTGCTAGTAGGAATTCACTTAAATTTTCATCATTTGATTACTTGAAAACAATTTTTTCTCAGAGAAAGTGCTTATCTCTTAAGGATGGGTCGTCAAGACTCATTTACTCACCAACTACATTAATAGGAGTTGTGAAGCAGATTGGGAATGACATATGCCGCTGAATGGTGCACACAGCTACGCAACATATATCAATAAAATCTTTCAGTGTGGTTTTTTTTATCATTCATGCATTGCTTCTCAAGGAACTGTATTGAATATTCAGTTAACTGGAGTAGTGTAGATTGCAACACTGTCATAAATTTTAAATGCGTACACCAGATTGTCAAATGTAACCAAAACTCGATGGGCGACGCAGGTCTCGAACCTATGCCCCATTGGTTATTAGCGAAGTACTGAAATCAGTGAACTGTAACTATGACGATATGCAAGTGACATGGTTGACCATAAACAGTCAAAAGCGTTGGCTATTTGTAAGTCTACCTCGTTATGTTAACTTAGTGTACGTTGACTGAGTCGAATCAGTATAGATTTTGTTCTTGCCGGTGTATTTTTCACTTAGCTACCATGACCCTCTTCCAAGGTAGCATTCATCACAGATTGACATCATCTGGAAAAACTTTGAAAATTTGGTGGCACTGAACAGCTTTTTCGTTCTAGTATGAGACTCAGCAGAATGCACCCACAACCCCGCCAGGTCTCAAAACCAGGACTAGGACTCAATTGCTGAGAAAGTTACTGGGTCAGTTAAATGAAGCACTAAATGTTTTTTATACGATTTCTGTTATGCGGTTTCTCTCTTCAGCAACCCAAGCAGTGCTACTTGATTATGTCTTTCCCGTTTTTTTTTACTGAATCCGAGTGCACATGCCTACCTATCTATCTATACCTACATCTGTATTTATATCAATATCAATCTATCTGTCTTTATCTACCATATATATGTTCCAAACGGGCCTTCTGGATCTCAGCTTATATTCCATCTGCAGCCAGCCCTTCGGGCTGATGCAACTCCCCATATGAGCGAAGTGGTAGACACACTTCACCACTTCACTCCTTATCCTTCAACTGGGAGTAGTTGCAGACCAGTCGTGGAGCATCACCTTGCATTTGATATGTGCAAAACGTGTGTTTAACATATTCAGATTTCTGATCAACGCATTCAACGTCTTCAACTTGCAGGACAATGTCGCCTGTATACTCCAAGTCAACCAGGTGCTCTCCAGAGAGTAGATCAGTCACCGTGAAGTCAGACGTACCTAGGGTTATGTCCATTAGTGCTTCTATAATGAAGCTAAATAGGAACGCCTCTCGTCATATGATTTTACAGATATAGATCTTATGACGAGGGAATCCTCGAGAGATCTAGATTATACAGATGACGTAGTCCTGTTAGGTGAAGACGCTGACACCATGTAGGGTCTTCTGGACAACTTGAGTGGCGATTCGAGAATGTTTAGGATGTTTACCCCATCTCTCAAATGTAAGTTGTCGCTCGAGGACTGGTCTTCAGCGGTGCCCTGGCTAGTAATAGAGAGTGAAGCGGTCGTTTTTTCCTCAGCCGACCTAATGTCACCCCAGGTTTCTTGAGGATGAGGATTGGTGTCACGTTCAGATAAATGCTTAGCTAACTCGTCTCTAAACGCATGCTCGGCGTTCTCATCTTCTAATTGAGAATACACAGGCTTCACTACCACCAGTTTCCTGTGGCCAGTAAGACGCAGACATACATGATCTTATACTAGTGCATGACCAGAGTCAAAACAGACACTGCAGAAAGAGCGGCAGTCCTCCACGGATCCTCTCCAAAGACGGTTTATAGCAATGTGATCTATCTGTGTCCATTGTTGGTTTGATGTTGATGGACACCGTGTGAGACAGTACGTTGCTGTATGCCTTGAGTTAGTCTTGGCCAGATACAAGTGATTGTCGGAACAAAATTGCAAGAGACGATCACCGTTGTTGGTTCGTTGTCATGGCGTTCCATAGATACCTTGGAGAAGCTTTTCTAACTGGCCCAACTTCTTTGCCTGAATGTCCAAGTCAACCGCCATCATAGCTATATCATTAGGTTTTTCTTTCGGTAGCAGAGTTGACAGGTTTCGATATAATCCATCTTTTGTATTATCCGAAGTCCAGTTCGTGGGTGCTGTTGTGGTGATGAGGAGTAGTTCTTGCAGATCAAACAGCACACAAACAGCTATCGACTACTATCCATTGTTGGTTTTTACTCTCTACCTTACAATAGTGCTACCTCTGCACCAGAGGGTCATCTAGAGGCAGTCATAAATTCTCCGGGTACTCTTAAAGTGAATTTTGAAGATGTACTACAACGGACAGGTGAGTTTAATTCAATGATCACACTCGGATCCTTTATACCTGTCTCGAAAGAACAGCATATATCCATAGTTCGAGATTCCAGAGTTGTCGAATTTGGTATCGGGTTCGGAGGTTAAAAGCTCCTATACGAAATTGATAGCTAAATCTTAGGAGACTAGGAATAGTGTTTCGCTTGCTTGGATCGTTGGCAGCGATCTCAGAGTACTCAGAGGTTGAGAAAGTTGTAAGAGGCATAATATTGGCATCATAAAGAAAGGGCGAAAGAGGAGACAAAGATAAGGAAGATAGGTCATATTTGATTGGATCTTGTATATTACCGGAAGTGTGCAGATGGTTAGCACTTCCCAGCTGCCTGCACGGTAGAGTTTTTTCTGCAGGGTAATTGGAAGGGAAAAAAATTTGCGTGGCTTGCATCGCCCATGGGGGACTTTCTTGGGGCTTGTCACAAACAGCCTTTTAAAGATTGTTGGTTCGAGACTTGGTTCTGACGCTAGATAAAGAAAACATATACCACCTGCACTGGAAGACTGTGGGACAAGGCGGAGTGTGCTGTTTTCGGGACCGACATTTTCTGACTTTCGTCCGGAAGGCAACATCAGTGTGACATTGCTGGTCACCCAATGGAAACACCATACTGCTGTCATACCTCGTCCATCCAGCAGTTTGACTTCGCTCTCGGATCTCCGTCATAACAGTGTACGCCACAATACTAACTGCTTTTTGTACTAACACAGACGTTTTTGGTGTAGTAGGACCTCGAGGGGACAACCGTTCCAGCCAGTGTAGCTCGTTGGGTCAGTAGGATATACAGCCTGACCACCACATTAAGTTAGTAGGTACCAGTCGGGAGTGGTATTTCACTCTGTCGGCAGGTGGTGATTGTGGAATTATCTCACTGAGTAGCGCACCCGTCTCACGATAGTTCTTTTATTATATCTATCACACATGGGATAGTATTACTTAACTATGTAATGTAACAATAACACATAACATTCAAATAATACTGCGTCACTGTGACATCAAATAAAAGCACCATAACGAAATTACACTCTGCCATAGTGCCCATATTCTACTCTTACATGAGTGCATGAAATGCGTTAGTTATGCTACTGGAAATCCTCTTCTGGAACTTACGAATTTCTGAAGGTTTATGGGAAGTCAGTATCTTAGATATAATCATAATCAGTGATTTCAACCGTTACTCCTGTTTAACTGCTATACAAATATACTCAACTTATCTGCGATTTCTTCAGGACCGATCTTCCTCCAGTGGGTTTTTCGATTGACCGACGACGCAGTGACTCTAGGCAAAGATGCCAAAGAAAAGTGAAGTCATTTGAACACTAAATAGCAGTCTTGGAATAGTAGTTTGTGTTTTATGCATATGAAATAAAAGATGATGCCCTAAGATTGGTCTGTATAAACACCTAGTTTAGAGATTGGAAGTTATTTTGAGTTGTCTGACCACTCTCTTCATTTACTGAATTGTTACCTATAGCTGGTACTTAGTAGTGGCGAGTTTGAGAATAATAAAATAAATATGCTAATAACTTATATGGTAAACGTGACTCATCAGCTTCGTCAAATAAATCAATAGCCGTGTATTGTCGCTTCACAGTAACTGGTATTGTTTCAATTTTAAAGCTCCATATAATTCGCATCTCTCCATAGATACCGACATATTTGAAGGTGTTGGACGTGAATATCAGCCGACGACAAAGAAACAGACAAAGAATGATGATGGAATAGATACACATGATGATTCTAGAACATCAAACATCCGAAATCGTCCACCCGTATCTAATACATCTACCAATGAATCATCGCATCCACAGTCATCCTATTTTGAAGTCCCTCCCAATGCTTCAAATTCTGCAAATACAAACAGTTCAATAAATGCTACAAAAGAATTTATGAATGAATTAAGTCAGCGTTTTGGAATGAAAGATGGTGATAAGCAACAAGAAAAAGTAAGTCACATATTATTGAGCATAGAGTTATTTTTTGGCGTGATCTTTTGATGGCGGTAATATTAACTAGTTATTACCTTTATTATATAAGTAAGTTTTAATATAATCCCAGCATGTTTAGAAAATCAAAAACAAGATTTTTATGAACGTTTTGCTGTGTATACCAGAGCTTCTTCAGCAGAATGCCTGGTTATTACCTTCATTCCAACTTCAAAATTCAAACTGCCCTGACCAACTGGTCAGGGTATTTTAGAAGCGTTTTTCCGAAATATAAAGGGAACAATGTTAACATTGGTTACAGTGTTACATAAGGGATAAGGCTGTGAACCTGTTCTGAATTAAATAGTTAAGACGTACCTTACACATATCGATCTACCATATACTCCCTCACGTGAGTATATCTGAAGTAGAAAAAGGTCAGGAGAAAGCTAATGATGGTCAGATCGAAGCGTGTAGAGCTGTATTTCATTGGTCTTAGCACTTGACTTTCAACCAGTGGGTCATGGGTTCGAATTCCACTCCGCTTACCGAGGTCTGGCCAAACAGATAGTATCATTGGCCCTCACATAATAGTTGTGGCTCATTGTTCATTGCACGAACGTGTACATGATTACTGAGTGTGTTCTGATTTTTTATTGAAATTGAAATGTCTCACCGGTCTATGATCGTTGTTCTGAGTGGTATAATGTAATTTGAACTACGTGATTACGGCCCCAGAGATATTCGAAGTCTTTTTTATATAGGATAAATCGATAAGATTTCTGTTTATTCTCACCTTTCAAATGCGTTAAAAGACAAACACTTCAGATTTGTAGTCTAGGTTAAGGATTCTCATTGGCTTTATGTGTGCTAATAACTGTTACTTCACTAGGTTACTAAATCAAAGGATTCACCTCGTTGTAAAATCGTCTATATTGGCTACTTAGATTATTGGATAACACTGACATTTATAGTGCTAAGTGGCAAATTTGAGTCTGAAGGCAAACATCAACCCTGGGTACATCTAACTGGCAAGTCTTGAAGGGGATGAGACATGTATCTTACATTCCACTTTCATCACATGGATAACAGATTATGATACACTTCAATAGTAAAGCATTTGTACAAACCAATGGATTGATAAACATCGATTATTTTGGTCCGATAAAATGATTGGTAAAAATGTCTAAATGACAGTGTTTTCGAATAAAATTCTCTCTTCTTTCATTTAACTGCACCCGCACATGTTCTTTGAATTAACAATTATCATCTTGTGTTGTGTTTCTAAGCCAACGTATGCGTTTTGTAGACCAATCAATTGCTTCGCCTGATGTTAGCTAAAAAAAATCTTGAAAGTTGATACTGGTCGATTAAGTTTCCAACATTCTGCTCATAGGATTTCTATTACAATAAATTTAATTTTCAATATCCTTGTTTATAATTGAACCATACTTTGCGTATGTGCATTTGTTCTTGTTCATATGGTCATAGTAAATATGTACTTAAAAGAAGTGATGTGCACAGCATTCCGAATTTCCATAAGTTCATATGGCCTTAAAATGGCGATAACGTTTCTTTTGAGACACCTGAACAACTCATATGTTTTGGTCGTAATAATAAAAAGTCATCGCATACAACAGTAAGAGGCCGATGGAGTTCACCCCCCCCCTCCCCCAAAGTCTATACCAGCTTTTATATAGATAGCGAACGCATGTTAATTGTGTAAGGTGAAAACTAAAACATAGGTAGCAAATGGATGAAATTTCCCAGCGTTTAGCTGAATATATACTGCAGTATAGTGTTTTTGTTTTCCAAAAAGAAACTTATAGAAATGTTCATTTTTTTGTTGTCATATCCTAATTTCTAGGCAAGTCTTGAACGATTCTTTGCTAAAACTCAAGTCACCTGTTACGATGAGTGTTATCCTGGTTTTGCTGAATCGTATGATGCTATGGGTGATTCAGACGATGAAGCGGACTTCAGTAAAATGGATTTGGGGAACAAGAAAGGGCCTGTTGGTCGATGGGATTTCGAAACACAAGAAGAATACAGTGATTATATGTCAAATAAAGAAGCCTTACCAAAAGCTGCATTTCAGTATGGTGTAAAAATGGCTGATGGCCGACGTACACGTCGTATTGGACCAAAAGATGAAAAAGCTGAACTTGACCGTCAGCTACAAAAAATTCAATCCATTATTCAGAAACGAAAACAACTAGCTGAAGATGGTGGTCCAGTAGTTAAAAATCCACGATTTTGAAATTAAAATACTTTTGCTTTTGTTTCATTCTAATGTACACAGAAACTAACTTATGCATTCTATATTTCAGCTGTTTTTCCTTCTTTTTTTCTTACATTACATGTATATCGTTTAATGAGTCTTTTATGACTAATAAGTAGTAGCTAGTCTTGTGCTAACTTCTCTTTAGATATGCTTATGCGCAGCTGCTTTAATTTTGTTTGAAAGTTCAATACTTTTCACTGCAATCCGATGAACCCCAGTGAAACACAAATGGTTTCACTTTACGTCTATATGATGTGATATTTTATATAAAATGGATATTTATTTCACTATTTTATTTAGGTGAACGTATGTCTGCAAACCCCTTATCCTTTAAATACCTCCATTCAAGTTAATGCAGGCCAAATTCGACTATCCTTGAGAAAGGAGAGAATTAGGTTACAGTAACGTTTTTGATATTTAAGCACGGCAAATGAAGTGTTTTTTCATTAGACAGTACTTCCCTTGACCTTTGATCGGTATGTCATAAGATCTAACTAAATGTCACTGATAGAGTTTAAGATTTTATGAAGGTGTTCGTAAGTCGACGTTATGATAAGAAGTTAGTATCTAATATCCGTCACAATTAATTTGGCTAGTAATCTACTGTGGTAAACGTAATGGGTTGCCGGATTGTAGTATGTACATCTACACTTTTAGGAAATGAAACTCGTAATGTTTCATTCTTTCCAGGTTGATCAATAATCTATTCTGTAAACTTTGAAGTACAAAAAACTGAAAGAAAATGCATAATTCATGAAAAAAGAAAAAAACGTTTTTAGTAATAAGAAGTGAACACATCATTTTGGTAAGCGCAGGGATATAAACCGTTCCCAAGACTTGAAATTTTGAGAATAGCAACTAGGTACACTTTGATTTGTACTATTAAAAGGAAACATGAATAGTTTTTTTTAAAAGACTGCAACAAGGGTGATTACCTCATCAAATAACTCGTTTTTTGTGCAGTTTGGGCCTATCAGTAGACTTTCAACTACCGGTCACATGTTCCGACTCCAGCCTACTCACTGAGATTTGGGCAACCAGTTAGTATCATTGGTCACCGCACGATGGGTATTGCTCATCGCCTAATCCAGAAACCCTTTAGTTGCTATGTTGCATTTCATTTCCCGTTCAAAGGTATGCATTTGTGAGTATATAATCCAAAAGATGTGAGCTTTCCAAAAGTCTCACTAAAAATTCAAATGAATGATGAAAATAGTTGTAAATAATATGTTACTCAGGGAACAACCTTAACATTTTGGAAAGTTGGCGAGTGCTGAAGTTGTTGAAAGCTAATAGGACAAAGCGGTGAAGAACAAAACTCAGAAATAAATTTCGCTTTAAGGTCATGGTAAAGAAAGTGATCACACTTCTTATAAACAGGTATCTGGAGCTTAAAGATATGAACTGCCGAAGCTTAGTCTGCACACAAATTTTCCATCCACATTCCTTTTTTCAAACGATCTGAGTGAGAATCATGACCTTGGGATCCGTTGGGAGAGATGCTGAGTATCAGGAATCCACTAGATGCTAGAGTCTTATCTCTCGAAGACGAAGTTGGTTGGTGTTCATGAACTCGTCTAACAAGTTAGTGCATTGTTGCATCGATTTGCTTCGATCCATAGAAGCGAGTAAACTTTTAAATGTACATGAAATATGCCTAATGTGCCAGCTAATCCTTCACACAATGGCGAATCAGTCGTTTCTATAACAAGATCAGAAAACGTCCACTGTGTCTTGAGGAACTCTTACAAGTGTTCACACAGCGTTGTCATTCAACGTTGAATTCAAAGTTCATAGCGAATATTTTATTTGCGGCTTGTTGGGATTGTCCTATAACTTTTGTTCATATTTTGGCTAAGAAACGGCCTCATCAAGCCTTAGAGAAAATATTTGTATTGAGCCTCGTATGTAAAGGTGACAATGTCGTGGATATTATGGGCAAACCTTTGTCCAGGTTCCTATTATTGGCTGCTATTATTTTTCTTGCCAAAACTGAAGTATCCAAAACAGTGAAATAAGGATTAAATTACAAAGCATAGGATGGTAAGTTCTAAGCTTCTGTTTACGACAAATTCACACTGTAATTTCTAGTAGAGATGAAATATCAGGAACTTTACTGTCAAAAGACATACGTGACACATAAATATTCAAGTTAAATAGCTGATTAACTTGGAAATAATATACGCTTCGTATTAAAACTAATCGAGTTACTGGAGAACACATAATACTGAACACCCTATCAAGTTACACCAGTAATTTAATCGTATTATTTACTTGAATGAAATACAATCATTACTGACAGTAAATTACCCGGAAGGCGGACTCATCATTTCAACTAGACTTAATACAGTGAAAGACCTCATAAGTAGTACATTTCTGAATAACTTATAGGAAGAAAGACCTCAAAAGTACTCAGTAAACTGACCAATTAAACTGAGTGGAGGTACTCCCAGGTCACGTCACAACTTTCAAAGGGATGAGGCGTTTAGTGGTTTGAAGTAATTTTTGGGCAAAGTCAGTCTTCTAACAGGAAAGAATCCAAAATCTTCAAGGTTCCGGAAACCTCACGCTCAAGCTTTGGCGAAAAATAACATCAATAGTTATCACTTCTCTGAACCACCAGGTATTGGTTTGATAAACTTAATCATAAGACGGGATTTTATTTAACTCGATAATCGAAAATACACACTGCAGGTAGACTTTATGCTGCATGAAGTAAGTTTTCTTTAAAATTTTAGGTAATGAAAAACAGCATGGTCTTACAACTCGAACAAGCTATATTTCCATCTTCAGAAAGGCGATTCTGCATTTATCCCACCGCAATATATCGAGAAAAAGAGATAGAGAAGAAGACTAGTCTTGAGATGTACCAAACAATCATACTTAAAGTTAGGTAGATGGTGGATCAGCCAATTAATACCATTATTTAAACCCCATGCTGTTGTAGCATTTTATTTCACTGTATTGTGTTGATATATGTAACAACTCATTGAATATTTTTTGTTTGGTGGTACTGAAGAAGACTTTTTGCTCGCTCGTTGACTAATACAACATCCTGATATATACTTCGCGTTAACTCCTGATATTTACGCTGTCTGACGCAGGTGGATCAGCAGTGTCGGGAATTATAAATAGGCGATAGTGTATCTGGACACGTATATAAAATTTGGAGTCAGATTTCAGAGCTCGACAAACTGGTGAGCCCGACGTGATTAAACTCTCTTGAATACTGCAACCGGTCATTAATGACTGTATACAATACGGATATACATATATACTGAGAATTTCTTTGGCTGCTTTGTGGTAGGCATTGACATACTTGTTTATCGTATTTTTCCTGCTCTTGTTCTTAAATATTTTTTTGCTGTACCAGTACTGATGTCCTTAAACTCTCATAATCAAGACTTTTCGAATTTAGGGTCCGTGGGTGCCATTAATCTTCCTATGCCTTGTTTTAAGTTTAATGACCCGCAATTGTGGTTTGTCCGTCTAGAACATTTCTTCATGGCCAATCATATAACTTCACAAAACACAAAGTTCGGATACACAAGCTCTGTTTTGCCGGAAGAAGTGGCTGAACAAGTAAGGGAGACACTACTAAAGCCCCACCCAGACACACCTTATGATGTTTTGAAGCAGGAGGTGCTGAAAGCTACTTCGTTATCTGACCAGAAGGCTGTCGATCAACTACTAAGTAGCATATGCCTCGGTGACAGAACACCTTCACAACTTAAGCGACATATGCAAAGTCTGCTGAAAGATAGGAACGTAGACAACCGTTTATTCTACCAGCTCTGGCTGCGGAGACTTCCTTCATGCATTCAGCAGATATTAGCTGTCGGAGATGCGGACATTGACAGGTTGGCTGACATCGCTGACCGTATGTACGAAAGGATGCCTAAACCGGTTGAAAGTATTGCTGAGCCAACGCAAAACGACCGAGTGGCCGCTTTAGAGAGGAAGATAGACATACAGGACAACTGACGGCTTTGCAGTTAAACCGACGGTCACCGAAGTTCTGTAGAAGCAGATCCCGTAGTCGTGATAGGACCACGAGTAGAATTGCGTCTAAAAGTAGCACGTGCTGGTATCACAAGAAGTTTGGCAGTAAAGCACGTCGTTGTTTGTTACCATGCGACTTTAAAACCTTTTCATCGGGAAACGGAAAGGCCGGCGATCAGTGACGACTGCTGTCGCCGGCGTACAACAACACAGTCGTTTGTTTCGAGTGACGGATAGGAAGACTGGAGCTCAGTTTCTGGTTGACACTGGAGCGGAAGTGAGCGTGATCCCACCCACACCTTCCGAAAAACGCCATCCCAACCCAACTTTGGTACTACAAGCGGCAAATAGATCTGCTATTACTACATATGGGACCAGAATTTTGATCCTAGACATTGGCTTTCATACACCATTCCAGTGGGAATTCGTCATAGCTGACATATCGTCGCCTATCATTGGCATGGATTTCCTTCAACACTACGAACTATTGGTCGACTCTAGTCGCCATAGACTAGTCAGCCGTAATGGTGAATTTTCTATCACCGGTATCGCTACGGAGACAAAAACAATAAACTGCAATAAACAACACTTCCGAGTACGATATCCTTCTGCGAGAATTTCCCGAGCTCACTCAAACGGATTACACGAAGTCCTCTCCAAAACATACGGTGACGCACCATATTCTTACAAAAGGTCCTCCAGTCTCATCAAAACCTCGACGCTTAGACCCTAAAAAGCTGCAGATAGCAAAACAGGAATTTGATAAACTTCTAAAGTTGGGAGTTATACGCCCTTCCAAGAGCCCATGGTCATCACCCCTGCATATGGTACCTAAAAAAGCATCAGGGGAAATACGGCCTTGCGGTGATTATCGAGCGTTGAATAAGCGTACGGTCCCTGATAAGTATCCAATTCCTCACATACATGATTTTATGAACTCTATGACAAAAGTAAATATTTTTCCAAGATTGACCTCGTGCGAGCTTACTATCACATTCCTGTGGAACCCAATGATGTTCCTAAGACGGCCATCACTACCCCTTCGGACTATTCGAATTTATTCGTATGCCGTTTGGTTTGACAAATGCTGCTCAAACATTCCAAAGATTTATAGATCAGGTACTCCATGGCTTACCTTTCGTCAGTGCATACATAGATGACTTAATAGTAGCTAGCGCATCTGAAACAGAGCACCTGCAACATCTGAGGACGCTTTTCGAACGACTGCGTGAATATGGCATTACAATCAATCCGCAGAAATGCGAATTTGGCAAGGAATCCCTACAGTTTTTGGGTCACATTGTTAATGCCAACGGTGTTAAACCGGTTCCGCAAGAAGTAGATGCAATTCGAGAATATCCTGTTCCAGACTCGTTTCGAAAGCTGCGAAGATTTCTGGGGTTAATAAACTTCTATCGACGTTTCATACCTAAATGTGCTGAAGTA